TCTTGATCTGCGGTTAATGGATGTTGTAACCGCATATCTCTATGGGCCCCTGGACAACGAAATATATATGAGACTCCCAGATGGCATTGAACTAAAAGACAAAAATGCATCTCGAGATCAATACTGCATCAGGCTGAACAAATCCTTGTATGGACTGAAACAAAGTGGGCGTATGTGGTACAACCGCCTCAGCGATTACCTCATCAAAGAAGGCTACAAAAATGACCCCATCAGTCCATGCATCTTCATCAAGAAGTACTCAAACAAAGGATTTGTAATCATAGCAGTATACGTGGATGATCTAAACATCCTCGGAACATCTGGTGAGATCTCCCAAACAGTCGACTGCTTAAAAGCAGAATTCGAAATGAAAGACCTAGGCAAAACAAAGTACTGTTTGGGATTACAACTTGAGTACATCAAAGGAGGAATCCTTGTGCATCAATCGGCTTATATCGAAAAGGTACTCAAGCGATTTAATATGGACCAAGCTCACCCATTGACCAGCCCAATGGTAGTTAGAAGCTTAAGTGATGACCCTCTTGGTCCCAAAAAGGATGATGAAGAAATCCTTGGTCCTGAAAAGCCATACCTCAGTGCTGTAGGAGCGTTAATGTACCTGGCTAGTCACACTAGACCAGACATATGTTTCGCCGTGAACCTCCTCGCTCGATATAGTTCATCCCCAACTCAGAGGCACTGGAACGGTATAAAACATCTCCTAAGATACCTTCGAGGTACTCAAGACTTAGGACTCTTCTATACTAACAAAAATAAAGATGGGTTAGTCGGCTTCGCCGATGCAAGATATCTATCAGATCCGCACACTGCCAAGTCTCAAACTGGCTACGTTTTTACGCATGGAGGAACAGCCATCTCTTGGAGATCAATGAAGCAGACACTCACTGCCACTTCATCAAACCATGCTGAAATCCTAGCCATTCATGAGGCTAGTAGGGAATGCGTCTGGCTGCGCTCCATGACTCAGCACATCCGCAGAGATTGTGGTATGGACGAAGACACACAGCCCACGGTGATGTATGAAGACAACGCGGCATGCATAGCTCAGCTCAAGGAAGGATATATCAAAGGAGATCGGACGAAGCACATTCTACCGAAGTTCTTCTCAACCTCAGACTGGCAGAAGGACGGCACTCTCAGCGTTCAGCAGGTCCGATCCAGTGAGAATTCAGCTGACCTCTTCACCAAATCATTGCCTACTTCAACACACCGGAAGCTCGTCAAACAGATAGGAATGTATAGACTTAGAGATCTGCAGTGATGCTACAATCAGGGGGAGTAATGCGTGTTGTACTCTTTTTCCTTCACCATGGTTTTGTCCCACTGGGTTTTTCCTGGTAAGGTTTTAATGAGGCAACATTCCCCAGCGCATTATCGAGATCCCGATTGAGTAGCTGGCCTGGTTCACTCGTCCAAGGGGGAGTGTTATAACACATATCATATATGGACTCTTATACCGGCCCATTAGGCCCATCAGGGCATTGTACTTAACCTAGATTCCCTATATACTCTATATATACATTCCAGTGATTAATAAAGTTTCTAAGTTTTCACAACATAGGTTAAATTGTTTTTTGTAATTATCAAATAAATATAAGGTCATTTTTGTCATTCAATTGTTTAGCTGCATCTTTTTAAGCCGCAGTGTCAGATTTTCTCAGCGTCTAAAAATTCAAGACGCTAAACGCCGCGTCTGGACGCAAAAGGATGCGTCAAGCAACCGAACAGAGATTGGACGCTGCTGCAACCCCTGCGGCTGACAAACGAACAACCCCTTCTAAATTTAATCTAAACTGTTAGACATAAAGAATCTGTCATTTTGGAATGTCAAAAATATTGAAAATATCTGGAAAGAATCTGCCATTTTGGAATTCAATATGACGAATTTTACAACAAAAATGACAACATAATTTTCTACAATCTTGTAATTCTTTTATGTTTTCTTATTTGAGTATTGTAATTTTTACAGTCGCATATAATTTGGATACCAATTGTGTCGTTTCATAATATATTGATTTTTGTTATTTCTTGCTATAGAGCCTTATAGAGTTAAAAGATACTGTTGTAACGCACATCAAATGCTGTATATCTTACACAGTTACACATCGACTTGTTGAAGTAGTACATCATTGTGATTTCAGTTGCATCGGTAAATTGAATTATCAAATCTAACCTATTAGAATTTTCACATTTTGTTGTGATCTACAACATTAAGAATTATCTAAGAGAAAACTAAAAAAGAATGTTATGTAAATAAAAGAGTTAATTGGTTGTAAAACCACAAAATGGACGGGAATTAAATCAGTACATATTGAAAGATTGAAACTAGCGATCACGATTGATGAGGGTGGAAGAAATTACAATATGAACTTTAGATCGAGAGGGGATTTAATTAAAGATTTATTCAAAATTAGGATGATAATGATATAATGTTTTTCTCTCTTTCTCCACCATTTCTCTCTCCTTCCCCACCATTTTTAGTTCCTCCCTTCTCAGCAAAATACGAAAAAATACAGGCAATGATCTGATTTAAAAATAAATTTGACAATACATCAAATACCAAATGTCTAGCAAACTAACAATATTCATATGGCCATGTTTTCGGTGAAAACGATATCACTGTCGTCGACGACCACTGTTGTTATTACTATAAATGGGTTACCTATTTGTTTTGTAATGGTAAAATTATTATATTATGTATAAACATTACATTTACATTTAAGTTCATATTTATCGTAATAAAAAATATGTTAGATTGATAACAATAAATTTATACCGTATTAAAATATTTATTGTATTAGATAAACATTTAAATGTATTGTTAACTTTATATTTAACATGCTAATTTAACTGGTGTATGGTATTTTCATAATCTTACACTTCAGGAAAGATCGGATGATTCAACTTCAACGAAAATTTGATAAAAATCGGGTGAATACAAAATAGAGTGATTTGACTCCAGTGAAAATCTGTCGAAGATCGGATGAGATCTTGCAGAAACCCAATGAAAATCTGGTGAAACCAATGATGTGGTGATATTGTCGATATAAGACATGTTAGATTGCTAACAATAGTCTTATACATATTAAAATATTTATTGTACTAGTTAAAATTATACATATTAAAATATTTATTGTACTAGTTAAAATTTCAAATGAATCGCCAGCTTTATATTTAATAGGGTAACTCAATCGTTAGATATTAACTTCTTATTGGCTAACAATCGTTTAACTTTGTTAATATTACTTTCTTAACATTAAGATGATCTATCCAACATATTGTTTTCCATATAATGAAATTGAGTTCTCGTAATTAATATTGTTAACTGGTAAATTGAGAACTTATCTACATAAACATAAACTCTCTTTTCTGGGTACTTTGGTACTCTATCTCCCTATCACTGACTAGTTCTCCGGCAGCAAAACTTCTCTCCGGCAATTCCATTGACACTGTCTGAAGTAAAAATATTTGATCCCAGCTATGGAATTTCAATTTTTTTTAGATTTTAAACAAAAAAACACAAGAAAATCAATAACGGAATCTCATCAATTTGATGCAATACATGTGTTTAAATCTGTGAAAAAGAGATGGTCTATTAATAGTTTTAGCATATGATAAAAATATGTAAACACGCTTTATGGTTCCGTAAACGAATCAGTGGGTGGTCAAAAGTGCATCTCGGTGAACAGTATCTCCGATAAAGTTGCAATTCGAGTTTGATGGTGTTGTCGCAAAGCAACAACGATCAACAATATTAAAAGAAAGGGAGAGAAACGTAAAATTGTGAAAAAAAATAAGAAGAAAAAAAGATGATTTGATCAAAAAAGAAAGAAAGATAAAAAAATAATGAGATAAGAGAGAAATAGAAAGATAAGGGAGAGATAGATGATATTTACGGTATTAGTGTGTCTAGATAGAGTAATAGGTTAGTAGGGGGTTTTTTGTTTTGATGAAAATTGTACAGTAAATCAAACAGTAAATACTAAATAGTAATATCTGCAAATATTATGTTAAACATCATTATAGCGGGGTTTTAATAGAGTTTCTTAGATATTTTTTAATTAAAATAAATATTAATTGCTGATTTTATCAAAAAGTGATCCTTATTTGAGATACTCAATAAACAGTTTTTTAGTGCAAGTGTCAGTTTTTTATTAGCCAACAAAATTTCTCTTCCTTTCTCTTTCTTCTTTTTTCTCCTACCATTTCTCTCTTTTTCTCTTTTTTTTTTTCTTTCTCAAATTTAACAATAAAAAATTTATAAAAAAACCTTTGAAGATTTTAGGAATAATGATGCTCTTAGAATATGATTATTGCAGTGTCTTAACTGGGTTTTTTTAATGTTTTTTTTATTATTAAAAATAATGTAAAGCTCCATATCAGCTAAAAACATCTCTTAATTGAAAACTATAAGAGATGATATCTAATAAAAAATGTCTAAAAACCCATTTTAATAATAAAAAATTGTCTAAAAACCTATTATGAATATTCAGCGTTAATGATGGTCTTAGTCTTTGCTAATGACACTAATTTCTCTAAATAAAATAAAGAAAATAAAAAGTAATACAAAAATATTAAAAATATCTAGAAAGAATCTGACATTTGGAATATTCTTGTTAAGTATGAAAAAAATTACAACGAAAATAACAACATAGTTTTCTACTAGCTTTTATTCAATCTTGTAATTCTCTTATGTTTTCTTATTTCAGTATTATAATTTTTTACAGTCGCATATAATTTGGTTACCAATTTTTAGCTGTTAATTATAAACTATAACAAGTAATTAGATACTTGATTTTGATAACCAAATGTCCATCGTGATCGCGATGCTTAGTAAATATCATATATGTCAGTATGTCACACACACATTTCTCGCACCGGATGAAGACTTAGTTCGGGAGTATCTTGGCATCGACGTTCCACGAAACCAAAGTACTGTACTATTGGAAAGGGAACCCTATTGAAAAACAAATCTCGTATCATTGTTCATCAACAACTTCTTTGCCTTTGCTCGTAACATTCTTCTTCTTGTTTGCAGTGTAGCTCCCGAAAAGACTCTCCATCTCTTCCAAAGGCATACCACGTGTCTCCGGAAGGAAAGTGAAGAAGAAGATCCATGCCGCAGCCGCAACTCCCGCGAAGAGAAGGAACGCACCACCGATGGTTAGACCTTTAGAAAGAGATAAGAATGTCATTCCGATAATACCACTCATCAATCTATTCAACATCACTCCCAAACTTGCCCCTTGAGCTCTTAGTCTCACAGGGAATATCTCTGAGCAGTAGACCCATGTCACTGGACCTGCACCTATTGAGAATGTTGCTACAAACATCATCACCGTCGTAACGCTAAGCCCAATGGCCCACTTGAGCGTCTGTCCCGGGTTTCTATCGATCACTGTGAGACTAGTCCCAAGTGCTGTCAAGGAAAGAAACATTCCTCCCATACTCGTGAGCAACAAGGCACGACGTCCAAACCTGTCGACCACACAAGTCCCTACAATGATAAATAACGTTTTGACAACTCCCACAGCGACCGTAGCCAAGAGCTGATCATTCTTGGATTTCAGTCCAGCCTTTGAGAAGATGGTCGGAGAGTAAAGAACGACCGCATCAATCCCGGAGGCTTGCTGAGAGAAATGGATGCCAAGGCATGCTATTAGGATGTGTCGGACAGAAGGGGTTGGTCGGACGAGAAGGTCCTTCCACACGCCTTTTCCGACACTCTTCTTGTTCGGAACAACTATAACATCCTCTGTCATGTCTTCGGGGATTCCAGCAGCGCGTTTGATGTCATCAAGCCTGGAGATGGCTTCTTCTTTTGTGTTTGAGGTTTTGTCGAGGACTTTAAAAGCATCCCCGAGACGACCTTGGAGGACAAGCCACCGTGGAGACTCTGGCATTGCCAACACTCCAATGGCTAGGAACACCGAGGGAACCGCTCCTATACCTAACATGAACCTCCAACCAAGATGCTCAGGAAGCTTGGAGAAGAAGTAATTCGATACGTATCCCAAAAGTATACCAATGTTGATAAATATCTGCATGACATAGAACATATGAACATCAACAATTCTGTTTACAATTCGTTTTTGATATATGTGAATTTGTGATTAGAAAGTTTGGATCTATAAGACCTCAGGGAAAGAGCTGAGGAAGCCACGAGAAGAGGCAGGAGCGACTTCAGCAGTGTAAACCGGTGCAATCATCATAGCATAACCAACACCTATACCAGCTACAAAACGGCCAACCATAATGAAAGGATAGTTTGTGGCAAAACCCATGAGCAAGGCGCCACAGAAGAAGAAGGCTCCTGCCAACACTATGGTGTATCGTCTTCCGATCCAATCGGAAGTTCTACCAGCCATGCCTGAGCCGATCAGAGAGTAGATGTTTAGAATACCCATAAGAATCTCAAACTGTACATCCGAGAGTTTCAAATCATCTTTAATGAAAATTGCAGCTCCACTCATCACTCCAATATCTAAAACATTTCGAAAAATGTAAGGAATGGTTATTTAAACTGTAAAACCAGAAGAAATCCGAAATGGATCGTTAGTAAATGAATAGAAATGTGAAAGAAAATGTACCGTAGCCAAGGATGATAGAAGTCATGGAGGCTAAGATTGCACAAGCAAAAGCAAATCGGCTTCTATTCCCCCTCGGTGGTTCGGACTCCGAGACCACAACACCTTGTTCTACGCCAGAAGAATTCATCGTTGCCACTATAATTGTAGAACTTAAGGTGAAATTGATAAGGGGAAGAGATATGATAATAGCCGATGAACTTTGTTTCTTGTGAATGAAGAAATCGTTTGAAGGATAAAAGTTTTAGATATGAAGCTCAGAACTCATCAAGCCAACTAATATCATCTGTTCACAAAACAAATAGTTAGTTACTTGATGACCTGTTATAGTTAAATAAGTTTTTAAGGATGAAAATTGGATTAGAAGATATCAAGAGATACATTTTTGTTTTTTTCTCGTCTACAATTTTTGTCCTAAATTTGGCAGTTTATGGTAAGACTGTTTTTGTTTTCTTTCCTAAAGTTAGAAATAAATGTAAATACTAAATAGAGACATCCAAGAGCGTCGGGTCGTAGATAAAATCATAAAATTATTTTAAATCTAAAGATTGCAAACATAATTCTGATCTAAATTTTTGTCTTCCAGATTTTCTTTATTTTTAGCTTAGTTATGTAAACTTTATGTATTAGATTCGTGTTCATAATAATTTGGTTTTGAATATGGGTATGATATTTATTGTTTCGTAAAAATATGTAAATATACTTTAGGTGTACTGCCTAACTAAAAAAATTATACATTTTAGAACGTATATGTGCTTTCTAACCCAAAAAAAAAAAAAATCCATAGATGTGAAATGGGAAGGATTTTTTTTTTTAAATAAACTCTGGTGATACTTTTATCCACTCTTTTGCTACAACCAATTATACATTTCAAATATTTTAGTATAAGTTTTACAATAGATTTAACGAAATTCATGTTATCCATAAACAAGAGATTTTTATAAGTAACTAATCGAACAACCTTGATTTTTGATATACTAGATGATATCTCGTGCGATGCCCGAGTTGTTACACTAATTTTTCATACTTTCAAAAATTATTTGTGTTGTGAGTTGTATATTATATAATAAAAATGTTGTAATGATGTTCTAACTATTATTCAAAATTTGTTTTCCATAAGTGTTGATATCCCATCATACTAACTCTTATTCAAAACCAAAAAATCTGAAGTACCATATAGAAAGGTTTTAAGTTCAACTTGTTTTCACAATTATCATTTCATCAAATTTTAAAGAATCTTAGAAAATTATAAGATGTGTGAAATTTGAAAAACTGACTATTTATAGGATGGTTAATGAGGAGTGTGCTTCACTATTTATAGGGAAGTTTTATCATGACAATTATAGCTAAAGGAGTGACATTTATGAATAAATTGAATTTTGTTAACAACATAAATAGTTACAGTTATATTTTTCAGAATTAATTTTGATAATTTTTAAATAATAAAATGGATACTATTGTATTTATATTCAAGTGTTTCAGCACAACATTAAATTTTCAAAATTGATTAAATTAATTATTAATTTCTATAATAACCATAATAGTTTTAGTTTTTTGTTGACATTAGTGAATTACTGTAAAATAAAGATATGCTAAGTGTGTTTCCATATTTTATTTAACCCGGCATTAATTTTTTTAATTTTATTGAATTAAATTATTATTTTTTTAATAATATTATATTGTATGTTTTGTTGACTATATTGAATTGGTTTTATTCCTCTTAATCACTATCATTGAATGTATTTATGTCATTACTTTGTAAGTTTTGGTATTTAAAAAACTAAATACAAAATAGACGAAATAAATGACATTTATGAATTAATTTTGACTCAAATTTTATTTAATTAATTTTTTATTTTTTTTGTAGTAATATTATCGTACGTTTTTTAATCTATTGAATTGGTTAAATTGCTCATAATCACTATCATTGAATGTATTTATGTCACTACTTAGTAAATTTTAATATTAGTAATTAAAATCCTAAATACATTAATTTTTATGAATTCCTTTTGATATTTTAAATGATAAAATAGAGTCTAATTGTATTCAAATATAAGTGATTACATTAAAATTAAAAATAGATACTACATTAAAATTTAGAAAAAGTGAATAAATTAATTATTAATTTGTATAATTATAAATATAAACACAACGTTTAATTTGTGAATGTTGCTACGTTATTGATAAAGATATCTTGATATCAAATTATTTTCTTATTGTTTTGCTAGAGAAAAATGTCATAGATGTTATATATTTTTTTTTCATGAGTTGAATGAATTTAATATGGTTTAATTGTGTAGTTTAAATAAAATGATTATATTTTTTAAAAAACTGTTCTTATGATTAATATGAGTAAATGTCATTGTGGTTATTATTTTGAATTGATTTTGTATTTATTAATTTTGATTTATATGTTTGTAACAGTTTTTGAAAAAGTCATTCAAGTTAGTCTAATTATATCAATTAGGTGGTTTATTATTTTTATTAAATCGAATCATCATTTTTAATTATATTGTTTAAAAAAATTAAAAGAATTGCCAAGTGGCTCAATAAGGAGAGAGTGAACATTTCTTTTATATATATGACTAGATGATAGATGCGCGAGTTGTTACACTAATTTTTCATACTTTCAAAAATTATTTGTGTTGTGAATTGTATATATCATATAATAAAAATTTGTAATCATGTTCTAACTATTATTCAAAACTTGTTTTCTATAAGTGTTGATATCCCATCATACTAACAATTATTCAAAACCGAAAAGCTGAAGTACCATAGAAAGGTTTAAACCATAGAAAGATTTTAAGTTCAAATTGTTTTCACAATTATCATTTTATCAAAGTTTAAATAATCTTATAAAAATATAAGATGTGAGAAATGAAAGTGAAATTTGAAAAACTGACTATTTATAGAGATGAAACTCATGGAGTTGCATTTGGAAATTAAGTTACTATAAGAATTTTATATGAACTTTTACTTTAAATTTGTTTAATTTTATGTATATGTTTTAACTTTTAAATGGTGGTGAGGATATGGATAATCATTCAGTTTTTCACTAGTGGTCCATTAGGCTAAATATGTGGTTAATGTAGGAAAATTTCAGTAGTGTACGTGGTATTTTGAAAAAAGTAATTAAATGTATTCTGTTGTTAAGTATTTATTTATTTTTTTTAAAAGAATTTTGTCAAGTATATGTTTTAGTCATAACTGTTATATGTTATAGTTATAAGATGTCTTTTATTACTTGTTTTATTGCCCATATGATGTGTGGGTTGTGTTCCAATAACTTTTTTTTAGTTATTAGAATTCTCTTTATCAGACTTCTTTCTCTCTAATTGCTTAACTTCATCATCATCTCCTCTTTATTTTCCTTACGCCTATCCAAACAATAATCCAACATGTGTTAGTTGTCTGCTACTATTATTGATGAAAATCATTAAATTGTATTTTTTTTTACCTTGTACTTTGATTTCAAGCTTTCCAAACATATCCAGTTTCTGCAAATCTACAAAACGAAACATAAGGTTCAGATATTTGCAAATATATTTGAGAAATAATTAAACTTATTTGTAAAATTGTGTGTGATGTAGTACGGTAGAAGAAAAATATTTGCTATTCATAAGAAAAGTGTAAAAAAATATTAGGATTTAGACATTACAAAATAGGTTGTTCAGCCATTAAGATTTAATTAAAAAACTGAAAAACCATTATATTTATAAACATCATATATTACTTTAATTAAAAAGATAAAACACCATTAATTTTTTTAAAAAGATGATTTAAAAGAATATAGAATTTGTGGGACTTGAAATACATCTCTTATAACCATATATAGTAACATATCATCTGCATATGGGATTCGGACTGAAAACTTGAAATCTATGTTTGCTTCCAAACCTACAAAAGTGACATAAGAGAAAGTTAAGACACCACTAGCTAAAAAATAAAAGATAATTGATTTTACATTTATTAATTTTGATTTATATGTTTGTAACTGTTTTTGGAAAAGTCATTCAAAGTAGTCTAATTATATCAATTAGGTGGTTTATTATTTTTATTAAATTGAATCATTATTTTTAATCATATTGTTTAAGAAAATCAAAAGAATTGCCAAGTGGCCCTATAGGGAGAGAGTGAAACATTTCTTTTATATATATGATAATTTTGATTTATATGTTTGTAACTGTTTTTGGAAAAGTCATTCAAGGTAGTCTAATTATATCAATTAGGTGGTTTATTATTTTTATTAAATTGAATTATTATTTTTAATCATATTTTTTAAAAAAATCAAAAGAATTGCCAAATGGTCCAATAGGGAGAGAGTGAAACCTTTTTTCTATATATATAATTTTAACAAATACTAGATCATTTAAGAGAGTCATCAATATAATAAGGTGATATTTTGAGTTTTTCTTTTTCTCTAACTATTTCAGAACCATTGAATAGTTTTAAACTTGTGCCTTGCTAAGTAAACTCATTTATTTTTTATGTCCTATGTATAAGAAAGAGAACGAAGGAAGCAGACGAGTTGTTTGAGAAAGTTGTAAGCAAGGGAATGAAGCCTGATCTTGTGATGATAAATGCCTTGATGAAATTTAACAAAAAATAAAATAATTGCCTTGATGAATGGCCACTGTTCTACAGGCAACATGGACCGTGCATTTTCGCTTCTTGCGGAGATGGATAAGATGAGAATCGATCCTGATGATGTGACGTACAATGAATTGCTTGATGAGGGGGCTCTGTGGAGAAGGAAAATTTGACGAAGCTGAGAAGAGAATACAAACCTGACCACATTAGTTACAAAACTCTAGTAAGTAGTAAAGTAAGAAATGGGTACAAAGCATTTCATGGTTCGAGATGAGGTGTGAAGCCTCGTGTTATTTCCACTCTTCTCACCTACAATGCTCTGTTGAAGTGTTTGAGTAAAAACCAGGACGGAAAACTCGCAGAAGAATTGCTTCAGGAAATGAAAAGTGAAGGGATTACTCCTAATGACATCACCTACTGCTCTGTAATTGAGGCAATGTCTAATTTGGAACCGAATGCAGAAAAGTCTGATACTTGATTGATCATGGAAAGCTAAAGTAAAGACCCTTTTAAGCTTTAGGCCATAAGACCATGTTTATTGCTTGCATTCCTAATGGGGTACTTAATAATTAATTTATTACTTTCTTTAAAATAAGTACCTTAGATAAGTATTTTAGTAAAAAACTAGTTTATTGCAAGAATCCTACATGGGGTACTTAAATAAAAAAAACATTAAACATAATTAATAAAACATTAAACATACAAATTTTTTAAAAATTAAATTCAGTTATTATCAGAATAACTTCCAAATTTTTGCCATAGATGCTCCACTAGATCCTTTTTCAAGTGGTGATGTTGCGTTGGATCCAGGATTTTCTTTCGAGTGTCGAACATATTCAGGATATTTGTAGGCATGTTTGTAGAGTACGATTGATCGACATGAGACATTCCTTCTCCCGGTATGAAATCTGAAACATCATGTAGACTGTATCCGTCTCGTTCGTCTTCTACTATCATATTATGGAATATAATACAAGCTCTCATAATTTTGCCTATTTTTCCTTTATCCCAAGAAAGAGCCGAGCTTGCAAAACTCCAAAAACACGCTCGACGTCTTTTCGGACAGATTCTTGACGTTCAGCAAACAATTTTGCTTTGGCACCTTGGGGAAGTGTAATGGATTGAATAAACGTAGCCCACTTAGGATAAATACCATCTGTTAGATAGTAAGCCAAATTGTACTCGTTTCCGTTGATAGAGAAATTCACTTGCGGAGCACGACCTTGTATTATATCATCAAAAACGGGTGAGCGATCAAGAACATTGATATCGTTTAATGTACCTGGCGCGCCAAAAAACGCATGCCATATCCATAGATCATATGAAGCCACCGCCTCTAACACGATAGTTGGTTTTCCAGAACCCCGTGTATACTGTCCGCTCCAAGCAGTCGGACAGTTCTTCCACTCCCAGTGCATATAATCGATGCTTCCTATCATCCCGGGAAATCCCCGATACTCTCCAACATGAAGTAGTCGTTGAAGATCCTCCGGTGTGGGACGTCTAAGATACTCATTTCCAAAGAGATTTATTATTCCTTGGACAAAATGTTCCAAACATAATCGAGCAGTTGTTGCACCAAGCCGGAGGTATTCGTCAACCGCATCAAGTGCAGTGCCATATGCCAATAGACGAATTGCTGCCGTATACTTCTGAAGTGCCGAGAGACCGGGTCTTCCAAGAGCATCTTTCTTCTGTTTAAAATACGGAACTTCATTTGAAAGTCGATCAAAGAAGATCACAATCAAAAGCATAAGATTATCACAAGCATACACAGATATAGAAGATCACAAACAAAAAGAAAACCAAACAAGATAACAACAAAATATTCGTACACATTTGAAATAGATGAAGAACACCTAACCGATCACAAAACAAAATGGAATCAAAAACGATGAAAACCTTTTCAGTCTAACAATATTGATGCAGAAAAGAAACAGTTAAAGATAAAATTCAAAGAAGCCATCAATAACACTAAACCCGATCAAAATCAAAGATCACTTCCAAGAAATATATCATCCAATTGATCCATCTACTATGATATAGACAACAATTTATACCTAAAACTACATAGCACATCAACTAGAGATCAGATGATCAACTAATTTCATGAATTTGGTTTTACAAAAAAAATCCCCAATTAAACCCTAGACGCAGAAATAGAGAAGATATTTGAAGGAGAGCAATAAAGACTTATCTCGCCACTGTCAGAAAAGCTTCCGGCCTCCGGCATGTAGCTCCGTCATCGGAAATCTGAGAAGAGATGTTGGCGATGTTGAAGGCGATTTCGTCGAGCAAAAAATGTGAGAAGAGATGTTTTTGGTCGGGGATTTTTTTGGGTCCAGAAACTTGACCCCTTGTGGCAAAATTTTTTCTCACTTCTCTCTTCTAATCAGATGCTGCCACGTGTCTAGGAAGCACCCTCAAATATCGATACTTAAAATGCCTAAACAAGCATCGATACTTCTTTATTATTGGGTTTTTAATTTTTTTTTGGACCAAAAAATCGTAAGTATCGGTCTTTAGTACTCGCGATAAACCTGCTCTAATCTCTCATCATTTTTATGACAGCTTTGAATGATCTGTACTACTTGTGGTGAATGCTGTAACGACCAACTTGGTTGTTTGAGACTTACATTTTCCTGTGAAACTCTATTGGTCTGAGTCTGCTTAGTCTGGTTCACAAATTCGACACATTTTGGTTCCTGAATATAATTAAGAGTAGAGAGAAAGCAGAGTAAAGTCACATGGAAACAACAAACACAACATATTCATAATTGGCCAATTAAGCTACAGAGATCCATCCGTTGGAAACTTAAACAACCAAGCTAAGTCATTACTTAAACCATTAAACACAGTCTTTAATACTCTGTAGCATCTTCCCCAAAAGACTCTCACATCTGTTCTCATTAGTGAGTCTCCTATGCGCGTTTGGAGACGATGAGAAGCAGCTCGGTCGGTTTAAGGAACGTAAACTTGCAAGCTTCCCCAACCAAGACAGGATACTCCTGCACTAAAATTCTCCATCCACTAGAGAAGAGTCCACCTGCTTCATGCCTCGGAACGTAGACCACATTCCATGACTTCTTCATGTCTGGGTGATGTATCTTAAACGTAGTTCTCTGCTTCGGCATAAGATTCCTTGAAACAGATACCCGGATCGGCTGAAAAAAAAAAGGAAAACAATTTTTTTTTCAATTTACATATCACTTACAAAAATCAAAATCAAAACGCAACAGAAAGACAGTGTTTACTCTCTTGTTTTGTGTTATCTTAGCAGTGCTTTGAGGTACGATCCCTTGATGTAGACGGTAAATTCTGCACTAGAAGAGGAAGAAGCGCCTGCACAGTCTCTCCGGGCACTAACCGTTTCCTTGATCATTGTGGAACTTTCTGATTCTTTAGCTTTCTTCTTCCCAGAGTTAAGCTTCCTCTTGAATTTTCCTTCTCCATTAGTTTCAGTTGCTGTCGGGCCAAGATCAGGAGACACAACCTCATCTCCTTCTCTCTTAACTTGACCTGTTTCATAATCAAAAGTGCAAAGAATCAATGTCTTTATCCTGTTCACTGTTGTATAACCATAAAATTAAAAATCTTACTTGAAGAAGCAAAGAAAGCCATGGATTGTTGAGGACATATCATTTCCAGGCCATCTTTCTTGAAGATCTTCACATTGAAACACATTTTGCCTTTGTGAGTAAATGTAAGGAAATCGTCTTCTCCAAGATAATTTTCCCTTACAAACTTCTCCCATCCCGATTTCTCCATGAAGTAGAATCTCGGATTTTTGGAGATTCCTATATCCCAAGAGCTGCCCCATTGAGCTCTTATCTTCATCTTACCAGAGAGCTCATGTTCGGAGACGCTTCTCATGAAGTCATAAGGAATAGCTCTCTGACTCTCTGTGGTTATACAAGGAAGATGAAGAGGTAATGTAATTAAGTTCCCATCTTTAAAACAAAGCTAATAATCAGATTCTAAATCTCAAACAAGAGCAAATAGATGAAGAAAGTTTGTTAAAGAAAGAAAATCAGTGACATTTTTAGATCCGTAAAAGACAGATAAAAAGATTCAACTTTTGAAACACATAACTAAGAGCACCTCCAACGGTGTATCAAGAGAGGTTCATGGGTGGGGTTCACCTATATTTTGGATTTAAAAAAAATCAAAAAGCCCAATAAACCGACGATCCGCCTCTTGGGGAAGCATTTTTCGAACCCGTTTTTGTTGGGGTTCATCGCTGACGTGGCTTTTTTTGATTGGAGGAGTTAATTTTTTTTTTCATGCGTGTCTCTCTCTTCCCCGAGACAAATTTTCTTCTTCATTTTCTTTCTTCCCAAAATTTTTCCCCGATACTTCTTCTCTGCATGCGATTTTTCCATCGGCGATTTCTGAGACATCGAATACCAAATTCAGACCGCCATCTTCATCTGCTTCGTTAAGGTTAGTGCTTATCATATCGAAAGTGATTTCTGATGTTAATTTCTGCGATTGGGTTTGCGAAATTAGGGTTTTTTTTTATTTGGGGAAAAATTTTGAGGTTCGATTTTTGATTTAAATTAGGGTTACAGTGTGAATCCGACTAACAATACTCTTGTTTGGGTTACTCTATCGTAAATCACGTCATCTGATTTAGGGATTTAAGAAAATTTTTATCAAGTTTTCTGTGTTTGATATAGTGTTCGATTCATCTGTTTTTTGGGTTGGATCGATTCATCTGAGTTGGATCGATTCATCTGTTGTTTGTTCTGTGAATGACTTTATGATTTCCTTTGTTTTATTCTGCGATTGTTTGGTGTTAGTTTGTTTGATGTGCGATGGTTAGATGTGAGAATGTTTTTGATGTGCGACTGTATTGATTGTTTGATGTGTCATTTATGAGTTTGTGAGATTATGAATTCGTTTGTTTGTTCATCACCACACATGAACACCTCTTGTTCGATTGTTAGATATGAGTATCTTTGTTTGTGAGATGGTTTGATTCTCCTGATCCTCTAATGCGTTTGAATTTGTTTGTTTGAGAGTTGTGTCTTGTGCAGATAATGCCATCTATCTATAGTGATACGTCGTCTGAAGGACCAGAGGAGGACTTGCAATGGGCATATGATGACGCGACTTATGGAATTCAGGAAAAGTACTGGTGTGGTCGGGTCTTGAAGGTGGAAACGTGTTCTGCTGAAGGTAGTCATGGGCGAAAGTACTTAACTTGCCCTGACCGGCTAAAAGAGGTAATGTTTTACTTGACTTGAATCAATATTGTCATTGCTGAATGTGTGTATGTATTATATATTGGTTCATAACATAACTATTGTATTGTAGGGGAGTGGAGTGCATTTGTTCCAATGGTGGGATGATGGTGTTACCGAGCAACTTGGGATTCTCGAGAGGCAGGTGAAATATCAAAAGGAACAGATGCTTACGCTAGAGACTGATATCAAAGGAGAGGTTCGAGGTCTTCGAGGAGAGGTAACGAGGCTGAAGGAGGAGGTAAGAGTTCTTCGAGGACAGTTAACGAGGCTCAACCAGACGTCATTTCAGAAATGAATAAAGGTTAGTCCGTTTTCTAACCTTTAGTTAGGTTATGTAGTTAAGTGATGTGTGTAGTTAGTTAGTTTTTTTGAGCTGGTTAAGGTCTATGTTAAAGTGATTTGATTGTTAGGTGGAGAGTTAAGGTCTTTGTTATCAATTCTTGGTAGGTTAGGGAGTTAAAGCACATTCATTGATTGCTTTACAAAAACAGTTCAACTTTTAAATCTTTTAAATCCAGCTTTGTAAGACTTTCTATTTTAAACGCTATCTATTTTAAAAGCTTTCTAAAACGTTAACCTAAACCCAAAACCATAAGCCCCTTTTTTCTAAACAACAAAATGGATTCTCCTATTCCATTTTCTAACTCTCACGGCTTCGTCAATCTTCTAGCTAGCCAACAACAAGAAAACCCAAACCCATTTACTTACCCGCACGTAATAGACCTTGGATCATCAGAAACCTTCCCTCGGTTTAGTAGTCAAGGGTCTGATGATCCAACCACACCTGGTGAATCGAGTAAGCAGCCGAGGCGACAGTGGACACCTAAGGAGGACGTGGTGTTAATCAGTTCGTGGTTAAATACTTCCAAGGACCCAGTGGTGAGTAATGAGCAGAAGTTTGGAGCAACCATGTTTGCCACAAGGTGAAAGAGCAACAATGTTTGCCACAAAACAAGAATCCACCAGAAAAGACGTTGAGCGTGCTTTTGGAGTCCTGCAAGCTCGTTTTGCCATAGTCAAAAATCCAGTTCTCTTTGGGATAAAGTAAAAATTGGAAAAATAATAAGAGCTTGTATCATCATACATAACATGATAGTAGAAGATGAAAGAGCTGGATACACCCAATACGATTTGGATTCTTTCGAACAAGGAAAAGGAACCAGAACTTCACAGGTCGATATGACGTATCAAACGACTATGCCTACTAATCTCACCAATTTGATGGAGAACCGGAAGAAAGTTAAAGATAAAAAGATACATGATCAGCTGCAAAATGATTTGGTAGAGCATATTTGGGAGAAATTTGGTTGATATGTTTATAATTTGATTTCAATATGTATGTTAAGCTTTTTTATTAGGTAATGCTAATGTTTAAGTTTAATTCTAAATTAATAATTATTTTCGAAATTTTATTACAAAAAAATAATATTATTTTATTCACGTGAACCCTAAATGGAGATCACCATTAGAGATGAAAAATTGATGAGGTTTTAATTTTTTCATTCATCAAAATTATATTAATAAAAAATTGGTGATGAACCCCAAGTGGATATCACCGTTGAGGTTGCTCTAAGAGATTCGAGTATCTAAGAACCATTGTACTTGTACAATGAATCAAAAGTTTGAAATTTTTTAAGACCCAGTGAGGCAGTGAATCGAAAGATTCAATTTTTAAGACCTATTGTTACAACGAACCAAAATATTCAAACTTTCCAGAGAAATTCTGACAAGCTAACGAGAAGTCACCTAATTTAAAAAACAAGAAGAGTTTAAACCAGAGTTACCATGTTTTCTGAATAGATATCTGCACCCTGAAGAACTTTAAAGAAGCTCTCGTTCTTCCTTTCTTCTTTGCACATAAGGAAATCAGAGTTTGTAGCCATTGTAAAATTTTCTCTTCCTTGAGCTCTCTCTTTCTTTCTCACTCTCTTTCCTCGCTGTGTTAATGAGAATTTTGAAATACTTTCTTTAATTTTAAAACTTGGGTTTATTTGAAAAAGAAAGTAATTGTTTTTGTTATGTTTTTGTTTTTATTTTTCTTTTCTAAACAGCTGAACGCAGTACGTAAGTGTCTTTGAAGACACGCAAATGGCAGAGTCGTTTACTTCTTTTCGTAATGCATTGGTCTATGTGACCAAAAGAGTGTGATCTTTTTATCTTTCTTTTATATCTTGTGTATTGGCTCATTTGCTTTTAACTAAAAAGTCTGACCTTTTATACATGTGTGTAACTATGTATATATATATCACCATTGCAATTTTTTTTGGTCCACACCATTGCAAAGAGATGACTAAGAAAAAAAAGGCAAACCCCACAGCATACGTTCAAATTTTGAAAATCAGTTTTGTGAATTATCTATTTTTAAAAATATTTTTTACTATCAAGGTTAAGACTAAAGATTTAAACCACACCCCCCCCCACTCTCCCCCAAAAAAAGATTAAGACATACGATGTCATGAGAATGTGAAGATTAAGATGATGGGGTTAATTAATGAGTAATAGGCTAATAGCAATATATAGTAACAGATAATTATAAAACATATGCTAATGTGGTGTGATTGCTTCATGTTTCATGTTTATCTTTCATTGCGTATTGGGCGGCCAGGAACAAGTGCATGTGCATGTGCATCAAAACCTTTGTTTTAGTACATTTGGGGAGCTTTTAGAGTTGTTGTAAATTATCTTTTGAGGTTTTAGTAGAAAATTTTGAGAAGAGTATCCGCAATGTTAAATCGCTGAGCTTCCACATTTCTATAGTTTCTTCTTAAGAATTTACTCTCTTACCAAAAAAGATTCAATATTTTTTCTGTTTATTTATTATGGATATGAGAACACTTACGAGATCTGTGTTATTCTCTAATTCTTTTTAGCATATTTTTATATGTATAGTTTTGTAGGTAAATATCATGATTGACTTTTTGTTTTTTGTTTTTGTTAGTTTGTAAGACCATCATCAACTTTAGGACTGTTCTTAGCAAACAGCAGAAGAGATTTTGGTTTAGAGAAGTTTCTTATTTGGGGACGGGAAGAAATGTTTCCTGAACATGTGTTACCTCTCCATTGAGTATTAGAATTAGGGAAAATTGGCATATTTTCGATGGATATCGTCAACGATTTGTTCCTCCGTCTCCCGGCAAGTTTGTTGGTCCGATTTTGAGTCCTCTCGAAGCCTTGCTTCTCTCTGATCGACAGTTTCGATTTCATAGCATCCCATCTCAGTCACACACTCGAAACCAGAGGTCACCTCATGATCTTGCTGCGATACCCTTGGCTTCTACATACAGTGTACCTTGACGCACTGGATAAAGTCTCCGACTTGAACATCCTTTGCAAGCCGGTGGTTTCACTGATGTATTCGGTTCGTGTAATTATCTGATCGATTTAACCAACTCTCTTACTGACATGTCGCATTTCAACCCATCAACCCGAAAACCAATTGAAGGTTTTGTGTGAATTGGAATTATATGTTTCGGCAAAGTTTTAGAAGTTATTGTATCGCTTTGTGTTTCTAAGTAATTTGTGCTGATAAAACCAATTGGTTTGTGCTGATAAAACCAACTGTATCGGCAAAATTGAAGGTTCATAAATTCTTTGTCGCCATGGAAACAGTTATACAATAGATGAATATATTGATTGTGCCTTGGAGGTTAGTTTGATTCCCTTTTGTTGCCATCACAGGAATTATCCTCTTTTCTGTTCATCATCAGCAAATCTTTTATTGGTGATATCGATGATGTTGCTTGTTGTAGGGTTTGGAGAAAAAATCATGGAAAAATACCATGTATCAGGACTTACGGACCAGCAGATCTTCTAAATGATGAAAATGCTGAGAACCTTCATGATGATGGTCAGTTGTTAGATTTCTAGCTAATAGCCTAATACTATGCATAATTTTCAATTTTCTTTGTTGGTGTTGAACACAAAGCATTGGCTGTTGATTCAGGTCGGAGAGTTATTCTTAATTGTTCGCCGAACATCTCTTCTCTTGTAGCTTGCAGAGAAGGACTTACTGAAAATCAACTCCTTCGAAGTCCCTTTGCATGAAAAGCTGTTGCACACTCATTGTCATTGATACATCAAAGTCAAACGACAATATTCTGGAAGCGGCATATGAGTGTATACATCAAAGTCAAAGGACAAGTGTAAGATAAGTTTACCTAGTGAACACGAAGGCGCTGAGTTAATAAGTTTTTGTTTATGCGGTTGATGATTTTTTTTGCTTTTGAATGATATATTTGAAGGAGTTTGATGAGTCTTGTTATTGAATCATCGAAGAGGCTGTTGAGTTTATTGCGTAATTGGAGTAGCTCAAAGTTTTGTCTTTTTTGTGATAAATCTTAAGGGAGACGTGAAATTCGCCGAGGTTCTTGAGAAAATGAGATGTAAAATGTCCTAGACAGAGAGCAGTGTGACTGTGACTGGACCCTCTAGAGATGCTTTTGGAATGAGACACTTGCGTGCGGTTGATGTCAACATGAACAAAATGCCTGATGTAGCCATGACTCTTGCCGTTGTTGCTCTCTTTGCCGATGGTCCAACCCACCATTCTAATGGTAAGTTAATTCTCAATTTAAATTAGTGTTTTTTACAGAATTGGTTTGGTATTAAAAAAAAATTTCTTAAAAACTTCAATGGGTCTCTGCCATTGGACAACCCAAAAAGAGAGGATCTTAAACCAGTTTCTTATTCCACTTTATACTACAAAAATAATAAATAATTGTTAAGAGACCCATATGGGTCTTTAGCATTGAGGATGTTCTAAGACCATCTCCATTGCAGGTCTCTCATGGGTTTCTCATGTTAATTATGCATTAAAAAAAAAGATTAAATGGTTTAATTAAAGAGAAACGTTTCTATTGAGAGAAATTGAGAGACCTATGAGAGACTGTAACGTGGCTGCATATGGTTGGTTGAGAGTAATATTTTTTTTTTCATTTTTCATTTAATCTTCCTCTCTTCTTCTTCGTTTAGGAACAAAGGCAAAAAAAAGAGAAGCCTGGATTTCGTCCGATGCTCTCATTGATGCATGTTTACACTTTCTCAATTATAAACACTTTCATTTATCTCTCTCTCTCTCGATGCTCTCTTTTTTATTTTTTTCTTTCTCTTCCTGAGAAGAAGACGCCCAAAACCTCCACTCATAAATTGATCGGATGCATTCTTCTCTCCTTCATGCATGTGTAATCGAGAGTCATAGCGATGAAGCTTGCAAGATTTCAGGGTAGAAGACGATGTCCGATGGCGAATTGGATGCTACCGGTAAATTGAATTGGTTCATCATTAGACAATGCATTTTTTTTCTACAATTTCTGATTTGGTTCATCATTAGATGAATTGGGTTTTTTGGATTCGGGTCCGATTACACTGATTACACTTTCTCAATTATAAATGCATGTTGAATCAAAGGTTTAGGATGGGTGTGATTAGGGAATCGTCGCTGAATGGTTTCTTTTGTGTTTTTTTTTTCCGGTGGTGTTACGGCGGCGTTACGGCGGCGAGATGAGAAGCAATTGGCTGAGTCTTCTTCACGGTGGGAAGCGGTGAACTGAGTCTTTTCCTTGTGTTGTGTCTCCTCATGATGCGCAGGTATTTTAATCCTATCTGAACTTTAAAGAACCACTTGATATATTGTTATGATTGATTGAGTGATGCTTGTGATGGATTGTTTAAATCGATGCTGTGTTAGTGTTTAGGGGAATCAATGCATTGTGTTAGAGTTAGAGGTAGGTTAACGGTAGGATAGTGAATCAATGCTTAGTGTGATGGTGAAGCTTTTTGTTTAATGCTTGGTAGTTAGGTGTAGTGTTAAGTTTGATAAGACTGGTAACCACACATCATCAAGGTTTATGAATTGCTTTGAAAACTAACAACAAAGACAATAACATTTTCTATTAAAGCACTTGGCCGATTGTTTTATCTAACAACACCAAGGAGAAGAAAACTCAAAACCCTTTAATCCTCTCCTTTATTCATCTCTTTTCTTCTCCTTTAATTCATCTCTTTCCTTCTCCTTTTTATTCATCTCTTTCTTTCTCCTTTTATTCATTTCCTTGTAATCCTTTAGTAAGCTATCTATTGTCCTTTATTCTTTCCTTAAGAGATTCAAAAGAAACAAATGGATTCTACTAATCCATTCCCTGACTCTGGCTTCATGGAGCTTCTTCACAGTCAACAAACACCACATGCCTTTGAACCTGTTTCACCAAGTATTTGTCTCGGTGATGCTGAAGATTCTGTCTTTGGTTCACAATGGGAAGATGGTGGAAGCGATGGTGAATGCAGGCCAAAAGAAGCAAAGAAATGTTCAAGGAAGAAATGGGCACCTTTAGAGGATTTAGTCCTCATCAGCGCTTGGCTGAATACTAGTAAGGATCCCATAGTTGGGAATGAGCAGAGATTAGAAGCTTTTTGGAGTAGGATAGCCACATATTATGGCTCAAGTAAAAAGTTGGTCGGCATGGAGAAGAGGTACCCAAATAACTGCAAACAAAGGTGGTCAAAAATCAATGAAGCTCTCTGCAAGTTCGCCGGCTGCTATGCATCTGCATCGGCTCAGAGATCAAGTGGTCAAAACGAGGATGATGTGATGAAGCTTGCCAATCAGATGTACTTGAATGATACAAAGAAAAAGTTCACATTGGAACATGCTTGGCGAGAGTTGAGAAATGAACAAAAATGGGCTCCGAAGGAAGGCAATGGTGTTTCTAAACGAAGAAGAAGCGAAGATGGGTCTTCACCGTCGCAAGCTGCGCATACCCATGGAGGAGATGAAGCTGAAAGGCGTCCAATCGGTGTAAAAGCTTCAAAGGCAAAAGGGAAGAAGCATGTGACCAGTGGCGAAGGAACTACTAAGCCGGATTATGAAGCCTTTGAAAAAGCCTGGGATATCAGACAAAAGGATTTAGACAGCAGGAACAAGTTAAGTAACAAGAGGATGTTGGAGAATCTTCTTGCCAGAACTGATACTTTAAGTGAGGTGGAAGTGGTCTTAAAAAACAAGCTCATAGCTGAGGTTTTAGCAGATGGGTAAATCGCATATAGTTCTTGGTTAGTAGTGTTCTTTTTATCTATTTCTGATGTTTTAGCTGATGTCTTATCTGATGTTTTCCTTTTTATCTATTTCTGTTTCAAATGCTTTATGTTGTTGTCTGTTTCAAGGATCGGTTATTGTTGTTTAGTAGTGTTCTTTGTACTTGTTGCATATGTTTAATATGCTTATTAATGTTGTTTCAGTTCATGCTTGATCAAAGTTTGCTAGTGTTCAGGGTTTAGTTTGATATCATGTTTAGTCTCTATATATGGCAATCTCGTGGTTGATTAAAGTTTGATATCATGTTTTTAAGTGTTCACTTTTTTATTTTTATGCAGTTTACCATGGAGATGGAAGTTGGGCCAAAAATGTGTTGATATCAAGTTCAGTCAAGGATATCAAGTTTTAGGCCTTCTTTTTGGTTTGGTCGGAGATTTTACTCCTTGGGCCGTCCATATGTGCCGACAGTTTTAGATAAAGTTGCATGTATATCAAGTTTTGTTAAAAATTTCTTGTCCATATAATTTTAGATATTTTTCCTTTATGACAGACCATTGTTTTTATGTGCCGACAGATACTTGTGGCTTCACATTATTTGAATTGTAGACCACATGTGTAATTCTCTCTTACATATTTCACTATATATACTACTCTTTTCTATAAATTAAAACACATCAAACAATCTTCTTGGTTACTTTATTTCTCTTCTTCATCAAAACGATCTTCACATTATTCTTGCTTCCTTTTTTTCTCGTCTTCATCAAACGATCTTCAATATTCTTGCTTCCTTTATTTCTCTTTTTCATCAAACAATCTTCAACCTCTTTTTCATCAAAGAAACTTTATTTTGTCTAAATGGCATCATCTTCCCGAAATAATATCGACGATATGATGGATCAACAATTTGATGAAAAATGGGATGGATTTTTTGACCAAGCGTTTGAAAATCTTATGCGTCAAAGTTGTGCTCCTCAACCTAAACCCAAGAAAAAAAGAGCATATATTGATAGAGATCGAGAAGAAGGGCATATTCGTTTATGGAACGACTACTTCAGTGAAGATGCAATCTACCCTGATCATATATTCCGACGTCGTTTTAGAATGAACAAACCCTTGTTCATGAATATTGTTGATCGCCTCTCCAATGAAGTTCCTTTCTTTAAACAAAAAAGAGATGCAACCGGAAGACTCGGACTCTCCGCATTACAGAAGTCTACTGCAGCAATTCGTATGATGGCATATGGTTGTGCGGCTGATGCAGTTGACGAATACCTCCGCCTAGGTGAGAGTACTGCAATCTCATGCTTGGAAAATTTTGTAGAAGGAATCATATATTTGTTCGGAGATGAATTCCTCAGAAGACTGACACCTGAAGATCTTCAACGACTGCTTGATGATGGAGAGTCTCGTGGATTTCCCGGGATGATAGGAAGTATTGATTGCATGCATTGGGAGTGGAAAAATTGTCCCACGGCTTGGAAAGGGCAATACTCACGTGGTTCTGGAAAACCAACAATCGTTTTAGAGGCTGTCGCTTCACATGATCTATGGATATGGCATGCATTTTTTGGACCTCCAGGTACTTTAAATGATATCAATGTTTTTGAACGCTCACCAGTTTTTGATGATGTATTACAAGGCAAAGCTCCAAAAGTGAAGTACTTTGTTAACGGGCATCAGTATCGTTTGGCGTACTATCTCACTGATGGGATTTACCCAAAATGGGCTACATTTGTCCGATCCTTTACACATCCAGAAGGTGAAAAAGCAAAATTGTTTGCTAAATGTCAAGAATCTGTCCGTAAAGATGTTGAGCGTGCTTTTGGAGTCTTGCAAGCTCGTTTTGCTATTGTCAAAAATCCAGCTCTTATTTGGGATAAGGTAAAAATTGGAAAGATCATGCGAGCATGTATAATACTTCACAACATGATAGTTCAAGATGAACGGAATGGGTACATTCGTTTTAATGTTGGAGAATTCACACAAGTAGAGTCAAACAGAACATCGCAAGTGGATTTAGCATATGAAACAGATATGCCGTCAAATATCAATAATTTGATGGGCATTCGAGACGATGTTCGTGATCGAAGGACGCATGAACGATTGAAAAATGATTTAGTGGAGCACATTTGGAACAAATTTGGAGGAATTTAAAATTTCAACTTTTTTTTTCGATTTTTCTGTTTTGTATTTCTGTGTTTATTAATGTATTTTTCTATGTGTTTGCAATTTAAATTAATGAATTAAATTTACTTTATAATATTTTTATAATTTAAATAATTAATTTTTTTTCCTAAAGAAACTCTGTTTAAAGAACCTACTATTGGAGATTTCAAAACTAAAAATCTCTCACAAATATACATATATGTGTAAGTAACACAAAATATATTTAAAAAACAAGATGAGAACCTCTATGGATCTCTCACCATTGGAGATGGTCTAAGACCATGAACACAGTAGTCTCTCACCGCATTTCGTATGATTAAAAAGCATTATTTTTAATAACTAGAGCGTGTAAAAAATGAAAGAGACGTCTCTTAAATTAGAAGCGTAAGAGACAGTTTTTCAAGACAGGTGGAGGCACATGATTGATTATTCATTTTGGGGAAAAAAATTATTCATTCCTTCCTCATTTTTTCTCCGACATAAGTTTCACCATCGTTCTCTCCGTCGAATCCGTCGAAGGCGACGACAACTCTACAGAATCCCTGCGGCATCGTCGACAGAGTTGGGTAAGTGTTTCCTCTCTTTCCCCTCTGTCTTCAGTTTTGTCGGATACCTCAATCGTCGAGGCCACAATTGAGGTTTAGATTGGTTCGGGATTTCTGTCTTCATCATTTTGATTACATCGATTTTTGTTTATTTCTTCTTCTGAATTGATTTAGGGGATTACATCTGTTTTCGTTTCTTTGTTCTCCTGAATTGATTTAAGGATCGAGTGGATGATTCTTTGATTTAGGGTTCTGATTGAGGTCTTAGTAATTTAGAGTTATGATTGATTTAGGCATCAACTGTATGACTCTTTGATGTAAGGTTATTTTTTCATCATTTTGATTTAGGGTTTTGATCGAGTGTAGTGTATTGTCTTCATCTATCTCTTATGAATTGAGTTTTTAGTAGGATATAGTGTTTGACATTAGCAAATGATGTATTTGGAAGAGAATTTTTAATTAGAACATCATTAACAATATAGATTTTGTGTTTGTTTAAGTGTAAATGAGAACCTCATTTTGTTTTTCATCTGGCTTTACATTCGTATACTTTGCTTGAGATTGTTTGCTTCAGTTTTATCTTATACTTCTTTGAAATATCTGTTTATGTATATGCATCAATGGGTTAAATTATTTGGAGCTAAATAATGTATTTGCTTTTCTTTCAATGCAGCTTACGGTAATATAACTTAAGTCGAGACAGGTGAACTGGTGGATCATTAAAGCAAAGAGTCATTCCTGGTAAGCAAACTTTCGAACCTGTAGGCTTTAGCATAAAAAAGTGTCTTTGTAGTTGGTAATGTAATAAAAGCTTGGTTAGATATGGGTCATTTGTAGTTGGTAATGGTATTAAAGGCTGGGTTAGATAGGTTTGAATGCTCTTATTAGTTACCTTTATGTCTCGTCGATGTAGTTAGTTGGAGTTCGATGCTTTGTTCTTTGTTCTTTGTTTTGAATGCTTGGTTTGCATTTTTGTTTTGAATGCTTTTTGTTCCTCTTTAAAACCCCGATCCTTCTTCTCGTTGCATTCATGTCCAAAACAAACTCTGCTTCTCTTTCATTCCTTCTTATCTTTCTATCTTCTAAACCCTTTCATTCCTTCACTTTCGTTCCCTTTTAATGGATATGTCTTCTGCATATCCATATTCTCAACCCACAAATTTTGTTGACTTATTGAATAGTCAACAAGAAACTCAACTTGAGGATTCCTCCTCTTCACTCGAGCCATTTCCAAGACCTTGAACACACTTGGAAGGAATAGCGGAATGACCAAAAGTGGTGTGATCTTTCCACCACAAGGCTAATGCATCGAGCAAAAGGAGAAGAAGTGATGAGGGTTCACCGGGCTCGGTTGCAGAAGAGATGAAGAGTGTCGAAGATGATGTTTCTAGCACTCATCCTATTGGTGTGAAGGCTGCAAAAGCCAGAGGGAAAAGAGCTACGGGTGAAGGAAACCCTCTGTCTCACGCTATGTCTGACTTTCAAAGGATATGAGACATTAAAGAGAAGGACTTAGCAACAAAGGAGAGACTTTCTAGGATGGGCCTTCTTGACAGGCTCTTTGCAAAAAGAGAAGCTCTGTATGAGGTGGAAGAAACAATTAAGAAAAACCTTCTTGAGGAGATGATATCTACTTAGTTATTTTCGTGTTTCTGTTTAGGGTTAAGATGTTTTATGGTTTGGCTTTGTTTGTTTTATGTATCAGATTAAGTTGTTTTATGCTTACGTTATTTTTGTGTTTTATGTAATTTGATTCTATGTTGATTCGGCTCTGTATTTGGTTATCTCTGATATGAATATGCTAATGTGATATTTGGTTAAGTCTTCATTGGTTATATCTTTGGTTATCTTGGTTTTTACAGCTTTATCTGGTTATATCTGGTTATGTATTTGCTTATGTCTTTGTTTATGTCTTTGTTTGTGTTTCAGACCAGTTGGCACAAAACAACAACACAAGTCACGAGCATTGGTTTTTCGGCACAAAACAACAACATAAGTCACATGTTGGGTTTTAGTTGCACAAAACAACAACACAAGTCACAAGAAAAGGAAGATATTGCTCTAATGTTTGTCAATTTTTTATGGTTGTAAATAGGTTGGATTTTATAGTTTAGCTTAGGTACATTTGAGACCACACATGTTGTTATTTATTTTGCCACCACAAAATGGAGACATGACTCTTCTATATGTAGTTTGTAAACCATTTGGTGATCGAACACTCCAACGTTTTATGAAGTTTTATTTTCAATTATTTCTATCATTCACCTTCTTAAATTTTTTGTCTTCCCATGTGGTCTCTTCTTTTAAAATCTCTCCTTCACTTATTCCTTTGTAAACAAAATCCACTTAAAAAAAAACTATGGCTTCATCTTCTAATAATAATGGTGATGATACTTGAAATATGAAAGAGATGGATACACACACTTTAATATTTCAGAATTCCAACATGGAGAAGGAAGCGGAAGTTCAAATGTGGATCTCGCGTATGAAAAATATATGGCTTCAAATCTTGAAAATAATATGTTTGCTCGGACAAGAATTTCTGATAGACGACAACATGAACAATTGAAAGCCGATTTGATTAATATCTGGCAAAAATTTGGACATTATCAAAATGCCAACTGAAATTCTTGGCAAAATTTATGTTCTATTTGTTTTGATGTTCTTGTATTAAATATCTTTGTAATGAAATAATTATCTTCTTTTAAAATATATTTTTTTAAACAACCCCATAGGGTTTTTAGCAATGGACATCCAAAACAAATGGATCTCTAACCCAACTTTAATATTAAAAAAATAGTTAGGAGACTCAAATGGGTCTCAGCCATGTTCATGCTCTAAGACCATCTTTATCGCGGTATATGGGCCGTTTCTTATCCATTATTTTCGAATAAAAATAATGTTTTGAAGCCCAAAATATGGACAAACATTTCTTGTTTCGGGACGAGAAGAGACGTCTCTTATGGCCACATGTGATATCCTGATTGGTTGAAATTTTTTGGAGAGAAAATTTATTTCTCTGGGTTAATTTTTTTTTGTTTGTGTAGACCATTCTTCCCCGACTCTTCTTCGTTTTATCTGTCGAATGCGATTTTAACCAATCTCTTGCGCCGACGGGTTTTCACCGAGATTTGGGGTTACCCTGGCGGCTACTGGGTCTTCTGGCATCAGAGTTTTTGGGAATCATTAAGTTCGCGTCGCAGGTACTCTTTCGAAACCTTAATCCAACCTTTTATCGATCGATTCGTTTTCTGTCCCAAGATCGATTGTCTTTAATTTAGGGTTTTTATTAGTATCGATGATGGGCTCTTTGCCTTGTTTGAATTGGGTAGGGATTTAATCGCATTAATCCGTTTGAATCGACTGAAAATTTTAGGGATGAACATGGATTAGGATCGAGAAAGTTTTGTGGGTTTGATCATATTTTTGGGGGTGTTATCTTTAGTCGGTGCAAAGCAGTTTGGCTTCTGTGGTTGTTATCGAAAGTATTTTGTTTTTCTTGTCTATGGTGTTATGTTTGTGCGAGCATTGATTTATGATTCACCAAGGGTCTTCTTCTGTCTTTTGCAGCACCATGTCGATTAGTTACACCAATAGTTCGACCTCCGTAGCAAGCTACGATAGCGGTTGTGTTAAAGCCGATGGGAATTTTGGGATTTCAGAGCGATATTACTGTGGCTGAAACATCATCATTGAAGAGTCCACAGCTGCTGCAACAATGGGGAGGAAGTTTTACACAAGTCCTGCAATCTTGGGAGAGGTAAGATCGAATAGTGTGTAAATATGCTTTAGCAAGTTTTGTTTCTCAATTTCTAATTCAAGTTTTCTTCTCAATTGTGTAGGAGAGCCCAGATCACATTTGGAAATGGTTGGATGAAGCTATCGAAGAGCAGCTTACTGTTCTACAAATAAGGATTGATCAACAGAGTGTAAGGATGGAAAGCTACAATAGGACACAGCTGCTGCAGTCATATGAGAATCGGTTACACACCATGGAGCCTCTGATCGATAGAAACACGGGTGACATAGGAGAAATAAAGAACTGGTGGGGGAAAGTTAACGAGAGGTGGCTTGGATGGAAGATGCAGTGGCAACGAGAGGTTCTGACTTGCTCCTCATTCTGTTTTTGGTTATTTTTGGTGCTATCTCTTTTCTCTTTATGCAATGGGAATCAGTTTAGAAGTCTATTCAAGTTTGTAATCCTTGAGTAGTTTTTTAGGGCTAAGTTGTTGTTTGTTGTAGTTTTAGAACTTGATTTTTTTGTGTTGTAGTTTTATGTTGAATCCTTTACTTGAATCCTTTATGTTGAAGACGTTGAAAGATGTTTGTAATGAATTTCTATGCTTTTATTACTTCGGTTTATGTTGTTCTATATTGCTGGGAAACTATGTGGCTTCGGCCTATAGTGACAATGGAATGTCACTATGCTGGGAAACTATGTGG